TATTCCAATGATAACTCTGGATCTCATCTTGAACTATAAATTTGTAGTTCTCGATAAAATCTCCCAGGAACAAAATTTCACTATCACTAATCTCCTCTTTTCTTTGCTTTAAGTACCTTGATTGTGATTTAGCCAAGTAAGAATGAGGTGCTAATTTATTCAGTTGCAAAACAACTAAATCAATGTAAGCTTAACAGGATTCCTTTTGTGTTGTCAAAGTTGATTGGTCAGTTGTTGTCCATTGGGAGAACTCTATTGATTCAGCATTATCAATATATACTTTCATGGTGCCATGAAGAAATTTTTCAAGCTGCCCTGATGATTTAGGACAATTTTGGCACCTATGAACCATACACTCTCTGCTACTGGTATTACAGACAATATATTTGCAGAGATCTTTATATGATACATTCAGTGGTTCCAGTAATAATTTCATATTTTGGTGGATAGTGCATACACATACAACATGCGTACCTACACTACCAACAAGGACACACCATTTCAGCCTTAGACTACAAAATTTGGAAAATCCCAAATGTACTGTTGGGTTCTGTTCCTTGAATGCTCTGAAGAGCTCATTTAGTTTGTACAAGATGAGTCTTTTCTGCTGATGAATATTACGTAGTCTTTCTTGCCTGGCATCACTCGAGTATATTCATCATCTTGGTAAAATGCTTCCACTGTGCAATATCAGCAGGCAAAGACTTGCCCCTTTTTGGTTCTGGCACAGCTAAAATACCTCTTTCCAAACACAATTTGCAAGCCTTGCGTACAATGTGTTCTGAAACATCAAACACATCCATGACTTTTTTGTGTGATTAGTCAGTAGGGGCAAGTGTCAAGATCTGTATTTTGATTTTAGTTGATTCCACTGTCTTAACTTTTGCTACAAGAAGCTCTATGATTTTACCAAAGCACTTAGCTTTATCTAAAATCTCTTTTTTGATTTTTAAAGCCTCATCATTCAACAGCTCATAGTCAACCATTAATGACTTGGCTACTTTGGTCTTTACACATTGCATTGCAGAAAAATCTTTTTCTCTTACCTAAAGTAGCTTTTCCTGAGTAATGAAGCCCTTTTATTTTCAGTGGAGAAATTCCATTAGCAGAGAAACATTCATTGATATTTCTCTTCTGTTTCTGCAGAAGTACTTGTATCAAGCTCTTTCATTTCCTCATCTGATACATGTCTTGGTTCTTCATCATCAGGAAGTAGCTTGTGGATTTGTATTCGACAATTAGGGCAGAGTTTCTTGCCTGGGATTAATACCAACTTAGCCTTTGCCTTGTCTGCCATCTCCAATGAAATTGGTTTAAACCACCTTTGATTTGCATTTTATGATTTTTAAATGGATTACATCTTTTTTCAAGCCATTCATAGTTAGTGAACAAGGTCTGCTTGTGATGGTAACAGATGGTTGTATTTTATCCTCGTCAAGTCCTGTTCTATAGGGAATAAGCTTTGCATCCAACTGATCAACTGAAATCAATCCAACCTGTTTATCATTGAATAAACCATGACATGTTTCAACTGTTAGCTCAGTACAAATAGGACAATTCATCTTTAACTGAAATAAGAAACTACTGTACTTCAAATCCAGTGTGCAAGTAAAAAGTCCAAGTAATTAGAAAAATACCACCTTTCTCCTTGGATACTGGATGGTAAGTGACAGATGTTTCAGGACCAGACAGTACATAGTGTAGTTTAAATGTAATCTTTTAAAGACTCTTTTATATTCAATTTTATTATGACTTTCTTCTGATTAAAACAAAATTAAATATTTTTGTTTCATGAAAATAATTTCGAAAAATTATTTAAAAAATAAAAATAAAAATTTAAAAAAAGTAATGAAAGCATTTCCTTCAATTATATAAATATGTATATGTGCCAACATCAAATATTATGTTTTAAAGATTCACATTTATCTTATGACTTTTTGAGAATGAAAAAAATCAAATGTTTTTTTGTTTCATGAAAATAATTTACCAAAATAAAATTAAAAGAAACACAAACAAAAAAGAATTTCTTTTAACTTCATTTGTTAAGTGCCATTTACAAATTTTCTATGCCATGTTGATTATCATATATGAGGCAATGCTTACTGCTTTTTAAAGACAATCTATCTGTACAAAAAGTAACATCTGCAAAATATATTTAAATAATTTTTTTTTTAAATTAATAAAAACAATCTTATTGAATAGTTTAAGAAGTTACTTAGCACAATTATCAACATTTTAGAGGTCATGGAGCATTAGGATGATTGTCTTTAATTATAATCTTTCTTGGAAATCCTGCACATACATAGGAAAAAACTCTAAACTTGGCAGGTTCATATCTTCTAAAGTAGACATAAAACCCTCACAAAATTTTTTGGTGAACTTGAGCAGGCATTGTAAATGTTAGGCAAAAAATATTATGAAATTGAAGAGGACGTATTTTCGATAGACTGACCGTAAGCTACAGAGGTGAAAAGTTGTTGATTTTGGGATCATGTATTTGGATGAGCAAAATAAAATTTTCTATCAGGTGTAGGCTTGAAAGAGTTAAATATTTGTATTCTACACTTCTTACTTGCCCTACATACCAAATTTCAGAAATATTGAAGGTATGTAAGTATTTTTCTTTAATTTTTAAAAAACACTGAAATTCGGCGATGTTGTGCAGCCTTAATTTAGAGGCAAAATAGGAAAATTATACACCCCCCCCTTAAAATTGGAACGGTAAAGTCTAGCACAAAATAATTTGGCACACTTTCCTAACTCATGAAGGGGAACATTTATGCCAAATTTCAAGTAATTCGGTGTCGGTGGGAGCAGATTTCATCTTTTTGCTGGTGTTTTGACATGGAATGACCCTAGAATGCTTTGAAATGGGTAAGACTGTTCCCGGAACAAGGAGTAGTCATCATTTCATTCCAGTGTCAATAACAAAAATTGCTCACAAGTAAAGATGAAGATGTACTATATACATTTGAATTTTGCAAGGATGAGCCAAACATGAGCAAAACAAATGTATCTTCATATGTAAGCTGTGTTTATGATTCTGTTTTTTGGATTGGCTTAGTTAAGATGATGACTGCATAGTGATGTTGAAATCCATTTTTTACATCCAGATTTAACTGGCCTTGAAGGAATGATATTTGCTTTGTACCACTAAATAAAGTTTTATGTGAAATTTCACCTCAAAAATCAGCACCTACTGCTGGAAGATGTGACAAGTTTTCAGATGAGGATTTCCTTAAGATAGTAGCAGTATTTACAAGTTTCCAATCAAGGACAGCTTGATTAATTTTTTTTAGGATTCTACACATACACACACCACATATTTGTATATAAATTACTGATGGGTTTTATTTCATGTTGACAATTTTTTAAACAAGAATGGCACCCATTCTCACCTAAAGAAACAAAATAAAAATTGGAGTTGATCTGAGCCTAAGAAAAGGACATAAAAACCCATCAAAGGAACATCATTGATGGTTGGATGGCACAACAGCCCGGGGATTTGCGACACTTGTCAGAACATGACCTGTCATCTCCAAAGACAACTTGCCAAAGGCTGTCGCTGCAGTAAGTCACAACTCTCCCTCCCTCCCTCCCTCTCCTACTGTATGCCTCTTTTACAAGTCTACTTATCTCTTTCTTTTGATGAGAGACATTTACACTGATTTACCATTTACATTTTTACATTAATACAATTGTTTATTTCTTAAACTGCCATTGTTTCTTCTATGTTCTGCCACCATACACTTAATATAACAGAAGGAATAAGATTTGGTCTTAACACCAATGTTATTTCATTATTAAAGATATTTACATAATTTTACAATAATTTTCATTTCCCATAACTTATATACATACTTTTTATATTTTTTTACAATAATGAAAGAATTATTCAAATTCATAAGTGTTCTTACTTAATGCTTTAGAGATTGAAAATTAATAAGATAAAGAATAAAGAAAATTTGTTTCATAATATTCACATTTGCATTATTCTATATTCAAAAAAGGGTTTTTTATTTTGCTGATGGTGCTGATTTTATATTTCAATACTTTCTTTTAAACTTGTAGATAAATGTGTTTACTTTATCTGGTCTTGTTATTTTTGTATATTGTTATTTTGTTACTCTCCCATTTTTAATCCATAATGAAATGTGGTGCTGATATTGAGCTTTGAATATTGACAGAATTTTGCAAGCAATGATTGATACAAGAGAAATGTATTGTTTCTATATTATTTTAAATATATCCAACTCCCAACCACTAACATAATCCTGATCATTTCTATTCTGACAGTTATTTTGCTCCATATAGAACTTATTCAATGGCTGAACAGAAATACTTAAAACCTAAAAGTGCAAAATTTTAACTAGTGTTGTAGTTTCTATTCTGAGCAAACTAAGAAATAATCAAACTATCTTTTTGGTACAAATAATGTTTAATATATGTAATATAATAAAAAAAAAATTGTCATAGATACATTGCCACGTGGGAATTCTCCTCCTATTGATCTTGCTATGAAAAAATCAGAAATCCTTAATAACTTAAAATTGGTTAATTTTGAGTCTTTTTGATAGCATTTTTGGATACCTTGGGCGAAAAAGCTTTTCTGAGCCAATTTTTAAGAGTAGGGTAGCTCTAGAACTAATTTTAGAGATAAAAATAGATTACAAAAGGTCATGATTTTTTGCATGACCCCAAAACTGGGGAAAACTAAAAATTGATGTTAATTGGACAATTATTGGAATTAGAAACTCAAATGTTTTGGATTGTCTTACTTTAATATAGTCAACATATGGATAAAATTTCAGAAAAATTGAAGAGATAAGGGTGACATTTTTTTTTCTGGGTGATTTGACATGGAATGACATGAAAAGTTTTTGGTTTGACTCACTTTTCACTGACCCAACAGTATTATTTTTCTGAATCCTTTCTAGCATCTCTCATAATTTTACATGTAAATGTAATGCAACTTAACTCAAAACTTTTTTTATTCACAGTCCCTGGAGAATTGTTGATGATTGTGGTGGTGCCTTTTCCATGGGTGCGATTGGGGGCTCTGTTTTCCATGGAATAAAAGGTTTCAGAAATGCTCCTAGTGTAAGTAATTTCAAAAGTTTCTTGTTGCAAGAATGATAACATGTCTCATGTTTATGAGAACAAAGCTTTTCCTGATATTGTGTGAAGAACAAGTCCTTATTTTGCTCTTTTGACTAAATCAAGTCTGAATGTTGTTTGAAAAGGTAAATTTAGTTTACCATTCTAAGAGTTATTTGAACTGTTGAGCTCATTATTTAAGTTACTTTTGATGTTACCAATCTATTTTATAAGCTTCAGGTGTGCAATCCATAAAAGAATGAGTCAGTGACTCTTTGTTTGGAATGAGTTGAGGTACCAATTTAATTAATTCTAGCATCATAAGCTGCATAAGCAGTTCCATTCTCAGCACCCCTTTGTAACCTTAGTGATAGCATATTTGTTTATATGAGGATTCTCTATAGTAGTCAGTACTTATAAAATCCATAGTAACCTAGTTACTTTCTACTTGCTTTTGATTGTTGAAGTATTTTTTATTTTAATCAATAATTTATGAAAGATCTTTTAAGAGATCAATATTCATACTTAATAAAATAACATCCATGTTGAGGTTAGATGAAAATGATTTATCTTTGTTGTTAAGATAATAACAGGCTGTTGTTGAGTAATCTAGTTGTGGCCCTCTCAGATTTCCAAACTTGGGTGTTGCAACACTTCAGTGTAATTGATTACTTATTCTTTTTTAACTGAATTATTTCTTTTTGAATTATATATTTGGGTTGGCTAACAAAACTTGAGTAATGTGTTATCAAAAACTTTATTTTTCAAGTGTATTACCAGTGTGAATTGTTTGGAAACCTCTGGGCTATCCAAATAGATACTTGTTACAGTAATCTTATCAGTATCCTAATCTTTACAACCTGTGTTTTATGGCATCAAATATACCATGATAAAAGAATGTTATGTGTGTGTGTGTGTGTAATTAATAAATAATAATTATATATAATCATCATCACAACAAGTATAATGTTATCACAATGCAGAGTCACTGAATAACTTCTGAAGTTGTTATAAAAAGTGTCATTAACACAATTGTTTTATTAATGTTTGCCACAATTGTGGAAAAATTGGATATCCATATTACAAAATGAACAAATCACAAGACAAGAACATATAGGAAAATGTTTAAAAAAAGACAGATTGAAAACAAATATTTCTTATTTGAACTATTTATATTCAGACTATTGCCCTCATCTTTGTTGTTATCAAAACATTTCAGCTGTTGTTCTCTCTGTCCCTCATCAGATGATTATCAATCTGGGCAACCTACAGGGAATTTTGAACTAAACCCTTTATTTAATCTATGGAGGTAGACTTTGCATTCCACTGCCCATGTCTAGGGATATTGTCTAGTTATTATTTTTAGTACTGCTTGTTTATTGCTTGGCCATTTTCACACTGTCTGGCCCAGGGATTGAACTCAATTACTATGTCACCAAATTCAGCAAACCAATGCTTTAATCTGCTTGGCAGAAAATTTGAGTTCTGATTTAATTAAAATCTTAAGACCATTACCAGGATGCTGATTATCAACTTGCTCTCATGAAGTTTGTTTACATTACGACAGTCAACTCTTAACAGAACCATTTTGATTTAACTTGATTAAAACCTCAAATTTTGGTAATATCAATCCATTATTGTATCATTTAGTTTTATTGACACCTTATATTGAATGTTTATACCAAAATAATCTAATTTCTCTTTAAATTTTACATTTTGAAAGCAGATAACAACTTTTTTTTTTTTTTTTACACTTAAAACCCAGGTGTGTGTGTGTATTTCTGTATTATATATATATATATATATGTGTGTGTGTATGTATGCATGTGTGTGTAAGTTCCAATAAATGATATGACTATATATTGTTTTATAGATCTAACTCCCAGCAAAACTCCCAGAAAGACAGACACCTCACATTTATGTGAAAAAAAAAAGAAAATTCTTACTTTGTCACATAATAATTTGTATTTTGATTCAATATGTAATCAGCGAGTGCCAAAAGTCTTTATGTGGTATAGCTAGTATATTATAATTGGTTGTAATTCTGGATTAATATGTTTATATTAACTATATAATGTTATATTGTTATGAGATTTACACCATTTTAGTTTAGAGTTGGTCGGTTTGGCAATTTATGTTTAGGTATTGGTTTCTGTATTTTTTCTTTCTAAGGAAGCTTAGAAAGCAAAAATACTAAAATAGAAAACCAAATCAAAAACTGCAGTATCAAGGAAAAAAACAGAAACCAATACCGAAACATAAATGGCCAAACTGACCAACTCTAAACTAAATAGTGTAAATCTCATTCATTTTTTTGTGTAATGATAGCATTTCCAGTCAATATTCGTTTGAAATTGATAAATTTGCAATTTAGTCCGTTCAACTCACAATATCTCCTGTATTTATGGTCCAAGCTTAAAAATATTCATATGGCTAGAAAGAAAATAAAATAATCTTTCTAAATATGTAATTTGTATGTGCTTTCTCATGAATTATTTTTTTTACAGAAAATGTTATTTTGCTTTGACCAGCTGAAAATGCAAAATATGATTTATTATTTTTTTTTTTTTTTTTTTTTTTTTTTAGACTAAATTTTATATATTTTTTTGCAAAATCAAAGTGACCAATTTTATCAATATTCTTAAAATTGTACACTTAATTAGAAGACACCTTAAACTACAATTAGGAAGATGTTCATTTCTTCTCTGGCTTGAGGGAGCAAATTCTTTCAAAAATTAAAGTAAGCAAAAAAAAAGAAAAGAAAAAAAGCAACTGATAGTAATAAATGTGTGGTAAAAAGAACTTCCAAATTATTGAAACTACTGTCTGACACTGACTAGTGGCTAAAAAAGAATAATTTTTGCTTTGGGTTAAAAAAAATAACTTGAAGTTTTGAAAATATACACATTTTAAAACTGAGATTTTAAAGATTACTTTATTTTTTTAGGTGTATTTGCTAGATAGAAACAATTTTATTTGTAGAAAAACAATTTTGCAGTCACTAGAGACTCACATATCTGGAAATATACATATTTTAAAAGTGAAATTAAGAACTATTTTAAATTCTTAATATCTAATTTAGGTGTGTTCTCTAGATAAAAACAAATTTATTTATAAAAAAAAAAAATCTTTGTTCATTTTTCTCGTTTACAACAACTTTATTTCATGATTGGCATACTGGCTTACTAGAAAACAATTACAAAAAAGTCTGAAATTTAACACTAAGCTGAAAGGGGCAGCTATTTTTTATTTTTACTTGCTATTTTGTTGTTAATTTTACCACAATTTTTTTTTTTGAAAACTGAAACAAATAGATTTCAGACATGTATTTTTTTTTCCTCATTTCTTTTGTAAAAAAAATAGATTTCACATTTATTTCTTAAAACTAGTCATTTTTTAACATTTTTGTTCAATCCTTTTCTCTTAACAATGGTATATAAAATTAAATTTTAACATCTGAAAGTCTTTTTCAATAGTGTTTCTTTGGATATGGTCACTCAGTAGTGATAGAACTTAAAAAACTGAATCAATTTCGGTTTCAATGCAGTTTCATGGTGTGAAGATGAGCCTGAAAAAAGTCAGTTTTTCAGTTAAACCGCCCATCTCTAATTCAGTTTTTATCTAGAATATCAACTGTCATAACAGTTATTGATTTGTCTTGTGTTTCCCATATGATTATGACTAGATATAAATGAAAATTATGATACTGAGAGATTACTTTATTAGATGAGAATAAATTTCATTTATGATTTTGCATTAAAATTATTTTTTCTTTTTTTAATTTTATCAGTTAATTTTGTTTTTTTATCTGCAAACATCAATCAGACTAGAATAAATCAAACATTATTCTTTATGAATCTATAAAAAAAAAGATACAACTGTTGCTGCTGCTGCTATTTACATATGGAAGGGAGAAAATAGGACAGTGTCAATGGCTATTAAAGAATAAAATATGGAATATGATGAAACCTTGGAAACAATTACAACAGTATGAGAATGTTTTACCAGCTGTAATTGTAAAAAAAAAAAAAAAAAAATCAATAAAATAATGAAACAAATCCTAATTATTTCATAAGATAGCTATTTTTACATTTTTTTCCTCTTTTTTTTGTTAGTTCATTCTCTTGGTATTTCATATTGCAGGGACACTACAGACGTCTGATTGGCAGCTTTGTATCAATCAAAGAGAGGGCACCTATCACGGGCGGTAAGTTACATAATTTGTAATCGTTCATCATTAATTTTGATGCAGTGACATTAACTAAAATTTCTAATCAATTATTAAATTATTAAATGAATTTTCTATTTTATGACCAGAAAACTTTTATAATGTCTAAAAATGCCAATTGGAATGTTCAAAATGCTTGAATTCTGTTGGCTAATTATTGCATAATGTTTGTGATTTGATCACATTTTTTTATTTGCATTTTGCTGTTCATTGTAAACATGAAAGTTGACATAAGGGCATAAAAAGTTTCTTAAATTTTACTGAAATTTTAGAAGATCTAATTCAATATACAAGAGCAGTGGCAGAATGTTTAATTTTTTTCTTTTGTCAAATATTAATATTCTCATATCCTTCATATGGAAAATGCAGTGATAAATTGCCTGGTTCTGAAGTATTTGTGCAGCATTAACAATCTGCTGCATGTTCATCTTAACCACATAATCTGCTTGTAGCTTTTCTAAAACTATCAGACCTTTTTGTGATATCAAAAAGTTTTCTAAAAAGAAAAAAACTCATTTGTAATCTTCTTATTCTATGTTCTGTGTTTCTTTGGAACGAGGGCAATCATGACTCTCCACAACTTCTTATCCTTTGTAGCACTTAGCAATGTTTGTCTTTTCAATATTCTTCCCATTCCTTGTTCTATCATTCATTTACAAAAGCTTGGTAGGTAGGTTCCTCTATTTCTCTCTGTCCCTCTTGCCTTTGTGTGTTAAGTTCTCCAAGTCCTCTTTGTTTATTATGTGTCCCAATAATTTCATCTGTCTCTTTCTGATTCTAAGTACAACTATCCTTTTTGTTTCCATTATCCTTAAAACTTCTTCATGACTCACATGTTCAGTCAAAATTTCAGAATATGTTGAATGTCATTTCATTTAGTGAAATATAAGCTTAGTACAGCACAAGACTAAAAAAAGATTGAGTTATATTCATCTTCCAAGCAGGAACTGCTTTGAAACTCAGCATTTCAAATTTAAATTTTTACCTAGGTTTAAATTTTCAGGCTTCGGCAATAGTAGGAAATATGTAATTATCTATTTCACCCCTTGTGAAATTGATTGATCTTTGTCAAAAATTTATAAAAAATGTTAGATGAATACACTGAAATGAAAACTTTCAATAGAAATAAAATACTAAAAATAGTGAAAAGAAAAAAATAAGAGGCAAAGCAAAAATTAAATATACTATTTTAACCAATTTGTTTTCATTTCTCATGAATATTTTGAAGCCTCTAACAACAGAAAATGATTAAAAAACAAAATGGTTTATATGTAACATTCAGTAACCTTATTTAGCTGTATGTACTTGTTCAAGTGGTCTTTTAAACTTGGTGACATCATACTCTTATAAATCTATTTTTATTTGAATATATTGCTTTATTATAGTTTACAACTAAATGGTTAAATTAAATTTTATCTTTGGAATAAAGTCAGATGTGACCTCTACAAAAAAGTACAAGTGAATTATCTTCCATTAGAAATAGTGTTAACATTTTTGTTTAATTATTTGATACATGGGTTTTGACTAATTTGTAGGTTGTTGATTGTAGTTATTTGTTAATTATGTAAGAAAGCAATTTGGTTAACTAATGGCATGTATTTATATTTCTTCAATTATGCAGAACCAATTAACTTTTTTTAAGACCTATTTAATGAATTCATGTCTTATAGAGGATCACAAATCCATGGCAGCATATTTATTTACTTTTTTTCAGGTAACTTTGCAGTATGGGGAGGACTTTTCTCAGCAATTGATTGTTCATTAGTTTATATTAGAAAGAAGGAGGATCCCTGGAACTCAATCACGAGTGGTGCCCTAACTGGAGCTGTACTTTCAGTGCGCAGTGAGTAGTCAAAAATTTAAAAAACATTTTAACCAATAATTTTAAAAGACCTTTATTTTTATGAAAAACCTCTTTTAGGGTTGTTTATATTATTCCTTTGTTTAAAATTTTTCCTGTTTCAAATGTAAAACAAAGTCTAGATTTTTTAAATATATTTCTCTTGAAATATCTGAAGATATATGTAAATGATTTTACAGTGAATAATATGATCATTTTAATACAGTTTTAATTGATAAATCTGATGAAATAGAAAGTTATTACTTGAATGTAGAAGGAATCATTTTTTATAAAAACCTTGATTGATGGATGTTACGATAGTATGATGCAAATTATCTTATATTAAGCTCATTGGTTCATATCTGAGCATTTAAATTTGTTTAAATCTTCAGTAAAAGATTTACTTGATTATTTGTGTGTGTGTGTGTGTATATATATATATATATATATATATATATATATATATATAAAACAATTCTTGAAGAAATTTTGTACAAAATATTAGGCTCATTTATTTATCTAGGCTTTGGGTTGTCTGAATAAAGGTTCTTGGTCTAACCAAAAAGCCCTTTCAAAAAAATCTTTCATCATTTAGCTAAATTTGGGAAGACCTCCATACAAAAGTGCAAACTTGTTTATTCATATCTATATGTTTTTATGTAAATCTTATCAGATTATGAGTTGAGTGATTACTTTTTTTTATCATTCCAGATGGTGCTGGTGCCATGGTAGGTTCAGCAATCATTGGTATGTATTTTTATCATTTTCAATAAAGCTGTGCTAGTAGATTTTGTAGTATTACATCCAACTATTATGTTTTAACTCATTCAGCCATGGTGGATAATGAATTTAAACATGACTTTTTTTCTTCCCATATTGTATATTCATTAATCTTATACTGATATGAAGCTTGATTAATTTTATTATATATTCTTACCAAATTTGTGCCAAGATAAGACTTTCTGATAGAAAAGAGTATGCTAGCAATATACATTAATGTTATTTTTTGTAAACATATTAAAAATGTTTCCCCTAACATTAAATGAATTGTGAAATACCAACTTTTTGTCTTTGTTTCTCTTTTTTTTTCCCCTCTCTATCTGTTTCTTTGTTTTCACTCTTGCAGGAGGTGTGCTACTTGCTCTTATTGAAGGAGTTGGAATCTTATTTACCAGATTTTCAGCAGAACAGTTTAATCCTGGTTAGTGTTTCTATCTTGGCAACATTTTGTATGCAAATTTCAGACAACTTAAAGTATCAAAACTTAATTTGGGTCAAGGGATTTATTGTTGCAGGAATAGACTGTGTCTTTTTATGAAACAAAATCTTTGGTTGTTTTATGACAAGCAAAGTTACAGAGTATTATTCAAGAGAAGTACCTAGTAATTGTTTAGGCGTTTGATTAAAGATCTTTTATAATTTTATTAAATCTTAAATGTTCTGAATACATAGCAGATAAGGACTACAATGTAAGTAGTTTTTGATAATTTATTTTGTAGATGATACAAAAACAATTTTGTCTTCTGTATCACAGACGTGTATATAAATACTCATAAATGAATGCATTGACTTTGCGACTTTACAAAAACTGATAAAATAATTGGATAAAAACATGAAAAATATTTTTAAAAATATTGATTTATTCCTTAACCCTAGAATGGTATTCCTAGGTTTGGCAGACCCAGGTTTACTGTGCATGTTTCATTTTTTTTATAGTTTTTAAAAATTAGGATACATTTGGTGAATTAATTTTAGGTTTCTATATATTGTCTGCTAGCTAATAGAATCAAAATGTTTGTTTGTACAATGTTCAAAGTTTAATGAAATAAAACAAATATTTTTCCTAGAATTTATTATAGGGTCAGAGTAACTGAGGTGTACCATGCCATCCTCATTTGTCACACCATAGGTATACTATTCTATGGTTAAACAGTATCAAATTGATTAGAATTCCTAATCATGTCCATTAAAAAAAAAAAAAATGAACTTACCTTTGTACTGTCAATGTGCAGAGCCAACAGGATGTTTAATACTTCAATAAATATCAATAGCAAAAATATAAAACCTGTAGTTGTTCATTGTTAATGAGTGTTATTTAATTGCCTTTTATCATTAAAAAAAGTGCCATAATTAATTTGGTTTGTTACTTAATGTGTAATGCATCTTGAAAATGAATCTCAGCATTTTTAGTAAAGCTGTAGGTTTAAATGCATCCTTGAAATATACACATTAATTTTACCAATGGCAGCCATCATATTTATTAAATAGGTAAGTTGTGAACACCATTGACTTAAAACTGTTTTCAAACTTTTTAGACAAAAAGTCCTGATGAGTAAAATGTCCTGTTGGACTCACACATTGAATTGCTGTCCATTCCAGAAATGGTAAACAGTCATTTACCTTTTCCTTCCTTTTCTTTGTAACTTCTTTCCTTGATACCTGCTCTTGGTAACCTACACATTGTTTGGCTGTGCACAAATGAAAAAAAATGGAAGTAGTAGTTTTTTTTTTTTTTTTTTTTTTTAGAACTGTGCATTGCCAAAATATTCAACTAATCATTTGCTCAACACAGCCCACTTTTGATATTTGGTTTGTTTCTTTGTAGCATGCTCATTAACTTAGTTTTTTTTTTGTCAATATTTTCAATCTGTTGCACTCGTCATATTCTTTTTAAAACTATTATCATCAACTATTATGGCAAGCTGCTAATTTGGCTAACAAAACATTTTTAGTTTCTTCTCATATTTCAGTCTTTAGGTGTCTGTTGGAATTTCTTGAACTGAACTCTTTATTTAATCTATGGAGGTAGATTGTTCAACTATCAATGTCTATGGATATCTAGTCTTGTTCTTATTTAGTATTGCTCAGTTATTGCTTGCTCTGTTTCTACTGAGTGTTAGTCTGTACTACCCATATTGAAAAACTTATTGTCATCAAATTCATGAACCATTAGACTATTACTCAAAGGGACAATCCTGAATCTAGAACTTGGAACCTTCAAAATAATGTTCTTGCCTGCCTGCTGTTACTGTTATGCTTAACTTTATTCACCACTGCTTATGTCCGCCTTGTTGTCATTTCTCTTTTAATAATGGCTAGGCTATTTCTAGGCTAGGCCATCTGAGGAGGCCCTCATTGCCTAGCATATGGGTTAATTCCTTCAACTGATTCTCCTATGTTCTCTGTCTAATATATTTTACTTGATCCCACAGAGTTTGTCAACCACCCTTTTCTTGCCATAAATAATCAATCATCTCTGATTTCATTGTTTCCCCCATAATTATGACTTTTCAGTGTTCCTCCAGTCTTAATTTTGGGAGCAGCTGGTTTCACTTTTATATTCTTTACCACAATTAAAAGAGATGTAATATGCTCAGTTCTTGGTTATGTTCTCCTCTGTATTAGACTTGACTCTGCAAAGATTTCTTCCATTAGATTAAGCTGCTTTTGAATATTTTCTTGATGTAGGAACTCCAGATTTCCTGAATCTTTTCTAACAAGCCTTCATATAAAGCAGATAGACTGTGGCAATTTTCCAATCTTCCTCCTTGACCCTTCTGTTTCTGTTTTCAAAGTAGTTGATATTCTGAAGGATAGGTTTGATGCTGATCATCTCTTGTTATTATGGGTCTAGGCAACCATTTATTTTCGCAATGTTGTAGGCATTGAATGATCCCTTTCTTTATGCTGTATGAATGGTAGGAATTGAAGTTAAGGTACTGTCTGGTGAAGGTTGGCTTGTGATATGTGCATATATTGAACCCATTCGCTGTATGAGTACATCCAGGGAAGCCAACTGATTTTTTAGTTCTTCCATTGTAAATGGGATTGAAGATCTTATTGAGTTCAAGTAGTCCAGCAGTATTTGTACAGCTTCCTGGTGGGTTCAGAATATGAGCATGTCATCTATGTATCTTAGCCATACAGTTGCTTTCAGTGGTGCTGTGTTTAAAGCTATTTCCTCAAAATATTCTATGTATATATTCACCATCACTGGTAATAACAGTGTAACATAGCTATGCCTTCTGCTTGCTGTTATATGTTAGATCCTAGTTGAAGTAACATTGTCTATACACAGAATGTCTGCATCTATTGGAATGAGAGTATGTTTCTTAAGGGAGTGGTCTGGCTCCAATATGTTTCAAATTAGCAATAGCATCTCATCTGTAAGAACCCTAGTGATCAGGCCCACTATATCTAAGCTTACAGTCCAATTGTTATGGATGGGAACACCTTGAATTAATTCTACAATGTGTTCTTAACATATGATAAAGACTTCCCTTTTAGTGGGATGATGATATCTATCAGTAATCTACTCAGTGGGTGGCATACTGACTATAGGGCCCAACTTTGTGAATCTTGTGGAGACCATACATATGTGGCAGCTTAATGTAATGTTGTCAGCTATCTATATTTCTTCATTGTGAAGTAGTCCTTTAGGATCTGTGACAGTTTCCTCTTGATCAATCTTTTTCAGCTTGTCTGCTGGCAGTATAATGATGCTAGTGTTAATCTATAGCGTCTTAATAGCCAACTTTTCTTGTTCAATTTGGGCAGCTTGGCCTCTTCTGGTTCTTTTCTCACTTCCCATCTTAGCTCATCTGCCTGGACATTAGGAGGTTGCATTGAAGACCTCTAAATATGGGAAATGCTTATGACAGTTGAGATCCTTGTTTAGCATGAAAGGTTACCTAGATTGGCTAGCACCTGAAGAAGGCTGGAGGATACAATGGCCAAAACATAACAGCAGCAAAGATTAGGACAATAATTCCTCAACCCAGGAATTCAGACAAAAATTTTTATTTTGTTGTATTTTTATTTAAGAGTGTGAAATTAATAAAAACATGACTTTCTTAGCCTCAACATTTAACAAAATATAAAGTCCAAAAACTTAACAAAATATATTTATTAGAATTTAAGCAATGAATTTGTCAATCAAGATCATACCAATTCAAGATTATATGTTATGATGTACTAATGGTAATGAATTTTCTATGTGGATTGTTTGCTTTCAATTTGTTGCAGATTTTGTGAAGATATAATAATTATATGGCACTGATGCTAAAGATTCCTATGAAATAAAGATATTGATTTGTAGGACATTTATATCAATTTTGTTTTACTTTTTATAGAAAGACTTTAATGGTTTTTAATACTTTGAGTATTTGTTTTATACTATAATTATTTTAAAATGCTTTTGTCTCAGGCTAATCTACAATTATAATTCAATCATTGAAATAAACATTGTTTCTTTTCAAAATAATTTCAGTGACATTATTAAATGTATGTATAAATTTGAGAATTAAAAAAGTTTATGCATTATATTAATAAATGTCTGATTAGCCTAGATTCTGATCCACATCTCCAGAAATATGATTAAATAAGCTAAGTGTCTTTACAGAGATTAATGATAATTAATATTTGTGAAAAAATTTGGGATATATATATTTGATGTACTGAAGATTGATTTCCATTTCTTGTAGCTTTAGCTACTTTTAAGTTTTTTTTTTTTTTTTTTTTTTTTTTTTTTGCAGTTTAAGCAATGCTTAGTTTTAACAAGTTTCCTCTTGTAAATGCACTTTTCATGAGTATGTGTTACATAATTGAACCAATATTTTTTAAACAAATTTTTATACTATATGTTATGCAGTCAGCAAACTACAAAGGTAAAGAAGGTATACCTGGTTGCATTAGTAACATTTCCTTCTTTGTATGGATACAGAAGTCATAAATGATTCTTATATTTTACTGTAATCAGCAAAATATTCATGATATGCAAGTCTTAGATACACTGATTATGATGATCAAAACATTGCATAGCAGTTTGAAAAGTGCAACCTTTTGATGAGTTTATTTTATATCTAACGCAATTTTATTGATGTACAATTTCAGAAAATGTAAAATTGAAATTTTATTTTTGTATTGTTCATAAAATTATGGTCAATAATTTATAATTCTGATTTATTAAATAAATCTTTTTTTTTTCTTTATAACAGCAAACAGAGTGATAATGGAGGACCCATCACAGTTATCATCCAAGCCCATATTTGGAAATTCCTACCAATAACAGATTATAATCAACTAGCTTTTTTTTTTTTAATTATTACTTGTAAATTTTTTTGTAAAAACAAAACATTTCACTTCAAGAACAGAAAAACAGCAGCAAAAATAGAAATAACATGAACAATTTCACTTGTGATTTTTTTGCTTGCTGTTAGAACATCCATTACTATTTTATATCACCATTATGTTATCTTTTTACTGCTGCATGTTACACTCCTTATTCAGTCTAAAAATAAGTACTTTCCAGAAGCAGTAAATATTTACAAAGCAATCAGGGGACAGAATCTTGGTTGACTATTGACCAAGCCTATGCATAGCTGGCCATGAATTATGTCCAAGAGTATACACCTCCATAACTGCCTGCTACTAGGATTAGAGAATTAGATGGTCTTAAAAGAAAAAAATAAGATCTTTTTAGGATCATCTTCTCTGAAGCTCTGTTGAATGCTTGTTCATATGGACAAAAATAAAATTGCTATATTCTAACTTAAAAACTGTAAGTAAATAAAAAGACAAAATAAGTAATACATGTCTTTGTAACTTTTTCAATTGACAATACTGCCTTTATTTGAAAAGTGTTGGGTTTGGAAATGAATGTATTGGTATTTTAAAAGGAACTGTGAGGAAGATAAGTGGACCAGTTTGAAGTGAAAATGGTTGTTTTCATGTATCACATCTGCAAGACAGGTTAATAAATGGGAACTGTATGTACTTTTGCATACAAAAGTGATGTTTTGTTACAACTGTGTGTTTTTCTTGATTTTGACTCTAAATAAATAAGACTAGGAATATGTTGATCAGCTAAAAGAATAACATGCATTTTGTTTTTGAGTTTCTAATTTGTTTTTTTTTTTTTTTTTTTACAATTTCAAAAATAAGTTGTCTTGAAATTTAATCCAAAACTACTGAATGTTTTACTGTTTTCTCTTGTAAATTTCTGATCTGATTGTTTGAAATGTAATGGTTACATTGAAAGACACTTAACAGGAACTACCATTTTCTTTAAATTGCATAAAAAAAGATTTCAAACCATCCTTTTAAGCACTAAAAGAAAATGTAAAGATTATTTTACATAATTATCTTCATTTTTATTTGGGATTTTATAATTAAAGATATTGAAAGTCTCTTTCACTTCTTGACTGCCAAAAATTTAATAAAATTTATATTTTATTTATGTTCTTGACTCTTAAATAATAATGATGTCGGGGATCATCCCAAATTTGGTAGAATATTATTCTAAACTAATTTTTATTTGATTTTTGCATTCAAAGTATTGACCTAAAATGAAAAAGATTTCAACAAAATTACATTTGTTTTTCAATAAGGGAATAAAATGAAACAGTGTTATTTAGACTTGGAATTTCAAAAGTGTAATAATGACAGTATTTGATATTTAACAGAAAAGCACTTGTAGAGAAAACTAGAAGGTATGTTAATTTGATTCTAATTCAAAAACAGTAAATTAACTAAATAAAAATGGTATACAAGCCATACTATATTTTCTCAGTAAATTAAATATTAAGATGCTTTTGTATGCTTATATATTCAATCAAATAATGAAATTAAGTCTTAAAAAGACATGTATGAAATTGGGCAGCCTAGATCAGCTTTCATGTTGACAAAATCAGAACTTTGAGAATTTTAAAAATATTTTACTCTTACCTGAAAAGACTAAAATTTTTAAAAGTATATAAACTAGTGATAGATTGTTCTTATTTGAAACTTGTTCAACTGAATAGATAATGTTTAATATGCATACAATTTGCTATATTTATGTGAGAAGAGGACCCAATATTGGAGATGGAGCATTTTTATTGATATAATATCATCAGATTTTTGTTTTGATGCTCATCTTTTTAAGGCTTTATTCATGGATGCTATTGGATATGGAGCCTGATGAAGACAATATCTGAAAAACTGAAGAAACTGTTTTAAATTTAGGTTGCTGTTTGCAGCTTCCATTCTCTGCTGATGGTTTTGAGTTTTTCTGATCATTTGTCACGTCTTGTGCCTGGTATAGTCAGTGTAGATAATATTGCTAATAAACTAAAGACCAAGAAGATTCAGGTCCCTGCTGTAAAAGTAGTATTTAATAATTAAAAAAAAAAAAAAATTGTAAAGAAAGAAATAATCCAGTTTTTTTTTTTGTTCCAAGAGCACAAAGTATTATTTCAGGCAAGTTAACTTATGAAATTGTACATTAAAGTTGGTTTTGTTATGGTTTTCAGCAAATTCAACTTCCATTCTTTGTTGCACATTTCACTAACACCTACGCGGGGGGAAAAAGCATGAATGCATAACCCCCACCACAGCGCGTAAGCTATGTTAAATAACTGAGTCTCCTCGCCTTGTATGGGAGTCAATCTTAAGAAGGCAACGAGAAACGACTTCTTTTTTTCTTAAGTCGTCCTAAATGGAGGATAGGTAATTATAAATTAAAAAAAAAAAAAGAAGAAACAAAACAAACACGGGTCTGTCGGTATTTGTAGAGGTACAAAAAGGCCGACGATAGGGATTGGGCCTGGGGCTGATTTTTTTGTTTTTTTTTATTTAAAAAGGAGAGGTAGAAAACAAACACGGGTCTGGTGTACATAAAAAAAAAAGTGCTCAAGCGTCGCAGTTTTATTTGACGACAAAAATTACTGCTGAGCTTTACTAGGAATGTTGACTTCTGTGCTGTCACCTTAAAGGAAAAATCCGCTATTTATAAAATAGACCGGATGCACGCATTTTATTGCGGAAATGACGGCGCTCCGTTGCCAAGGCAGTAAGTTGTCAACGAACGCTGATGGTCATCGCCATTGTCATAATTTGAATCAATCATTAAATTTAAATTTATTTTCGTTCACATTTTTAGAGCAGCTGGGAATTTTAAATAGCTGATTGAAAAGTATGTATTTAAAAAAATATATTTTGTTGCGTTAAGTGGTTAGTATTTTTAAGAAAACAGCTTAATTTGCCACAATATAGGAGCGCAGTTAAGGATTGAACTCACGACACTGCACGAGTTAAAATGGGTTGCCAAATTACTCTTAAACATTCAGTTAAATCACAAGCATCCAAGATTATTGGTAGATCAAATTCATTGTTTTTCTTTTTTTGTAAAGATGATTAAATCTGTCACATTAACTGAATTTGCAATTCAAGACGACTATTACAAATCTCAGTCAAGCTCAAGTGTTGTGTAGTGTAACTGTACTGAAGTGAATGTGAACTGTTATTGTAAAAAAAGTCCTATTAAAAAAAAGGATTTAAAATTATTTTTAAAATTTGAAGTTGTTATTGCGTTTAAAATTCTCGCGATTCTTACTCTTTATTACTCAATACAAATAATATAAGTTAATTTTATTTTGGTTGTGGATTGTGTACCACCTGTGCTCTCTACATGTTAATGACATAATGTCATATAATGTAATGTTAATGTAACATTAAGTTAATGTTCTAGTTTAGCTTGATTATTTAAAAAAAAAAAAAAATCAATTTTGAATGGAATTTTTAAGGAAAGCAAGTCCCCAACCCTCTTAAAATTGACGCAATTACAAAGTGCCAGATTAAACTACCTATCTGGAAACCCTGTTATTTTGCATTTTAAAAATGCTTCCATTTATGTTTTACTTTTGTTTTCATGGTAGGTATCTCCAATTTTCATAGCGGAAAATTTGATACCAAGTAAAAAAAATCATGAAACTTTATAGCTAATACTTCATTAATTTTATGGTAGTTTTCTTTTATAATTGAAAGCTAAAAGAATGGCAAGGCGGATCATATTGAGATTAAAGAGAATTCCCTGAAAAATAAATTTAAAAAAAAAATAAGGGAACCAAAAAGAAAAGTCAATAGCTTTTTTTAGTTTAAATTCAATTTTTTTTAAAAAAAAAAAAAAAAAAAAAAAAAAAAAAAAACCCTTTTTTAACATTTTTTTTTTTTTTAAATTGTGTTCTCGGGCTGTTATTGTCTGCAGCAATTTGCAATTGTCTATAATATCGATTTATTAATTTAATAATTCGATATTTTTAGATTTTTTTTTATAGATGTCCTTTCATAAGTAAATATACAAAGATATTGGTAAAAAAATATTTTTACACGGCTGTTGGATATTATTAACTACGGATGCGCACACTTAAAATAATTTCTGCTTTTCAGTTTCCATTCTCGCATTCGCTAAGTCGTAGTTAATATGCACTGATCGAAAGAAAAAATCTCCTACATTACATTTAACTGAATTTTCTACAGAAATAATTAAAGTTAATATTGTATTGTACGTAGGGGCATATACATGCATTCTTTGCAATGTGTCGTTTAAGAAACAAATTTTAAATTTTCCTAATAATTATGAAATTCTTTTAACACAAGCACTACACAATTTCAAAACATGACCTAGAAGTTTATTTAAATAAGGATTTGTTTTTTTTAAACTTACTATTTCAAAAAATAATCAATGCACTAAGTGTCTTTTTCTGATTGTTCCAATAATACTTCATTTACTTGTATGATTATAAGTTATTTTTTTTTAAATAATTTGCTTTCCGAATTTTTTCAATAAATGTTATGTCTTTAAAAAGTTTAATCGATTCCACCGAATTAGGTATTACAAGTTGCAACCAAAAAATAATAGATATAAGAGTTCTTACATTCTTTAATCAACATTTCATGTGACAAAATGTGTCCCAAAATTAACGTTTTAAAAGTAATGATTGTTCTATATAAAAAAAAAAAAATCGGTAAATTTTGGTTGTTTCCCAAGCGCTAATATCCCTTAAAATTTTTCCAAAATCGTCATCCGTGCAAAAGTACATGCTGAACTCGAATTAACAATTAAATTATGAAGAAACCATCATAATTTTGGAGTTATCGACAAGAAAATATCGGATTTCTTGTTGGTCATTAGTCCCTCATTACTGCCATCATGTTTACTAATTTACGGCGTAGTACCTACGCAGGAGTAATCAGAAAATTTGGCCTATTTACTTCTTTTACATACTTTCCTTGCAGAAAAATCAATAC